CATTTGACTGTCTATCTCCAGGAAATGTTTTACACACTAAGGCTGCCTGTGCATCTTGTGCATTTAGTTGTGTTCCAACTGAGTGCTCCAACTCCATATGTCACTTGAGTCTCTTTGTTCAGTGCAGGTGCCCACTGTTACTAGATATGTTCTTCTGAAAAAAAGCTCAATAACTCTGAAGAATGAAAGAGGAATAAAATACAGGAAACACTGAAGAAGGACTGGCTTTTGTATTGATGCTTTATCAGACATGTGAACTTTCTCTGTCAAAGAATATTTCACAACTGAATATTTTTGTTTCAAATCATAATAAAAGGACAAATCCCTCTACTAAAGGAGTGAACACTTCCTTCTGCTCTATATTCTGGTGGACATCCAGAATGGTGAGGAGCAGGGAGAGCAAGTAAGTTGCCAGGATAGCCAACATATGTGTGATTGCAAACCACTGAATGTGAATTTCTGAAACAGAAATAGAAATAGGCTTCTCTGAAAGCATTTGGAAAAGCTTCGCATTTTACTTTTCAAATGTAAAATCACAAGTTTGTTTTGCTAAATTTACAGGGAATCTTAATTTAGCAAAAGGAGAAATCCCCACATGACTCTAACCAGAGAACTGGAGGATGAGTAATGACTCCTTTTTTACTTCTTTATTTTAGCATTAGAACTAGTTTTTTTATCCAAGAGAGTTAGGGATAATATGGTGGTGGAAAGAGAATCAAAGCTTAAAGAGAGGGCAAAAGATTAGAATAAACAGGCTTGGATGCACAGGTTTAAATGCACATTCCCAAAATCCTGACTCAGTTTGCAGAATTTCAAGTCCATAGAAAAAAAACCTCCTGACAATCTTTCAGGGCTTTGGCTTTGATTTTAGGTCTAGAACATGAACATCTATTTTAAACAGAACTGAAAATCTCAGAGAGCTTAAATACTTCACTCAAAGCACTCAATATGCAGCTGCATTTACAGTGATATATTCAGTTAATCATTGTGCTTCTCTTCCTTGCTTCCTTGTTCTCTCAGCAATCCTTGTGAGGTGAGGTGATTTAGCAGCATTTTCCATATATCATGTGGCTGTGAAACTTGAAAAATGACAGTATATTTTGCAAAGTCTGCTGTTTAAAGACAGCCGCTTCTGTCTTCACATGAAATCAGAGGGACATCTATTTTTCTCTGCTAATTATGAGTACTGGGATCTTGCTGCAAGAACATTTTTCTCCACTTGGATTTGTTTAAGTTTTTATGATGCGTGTGGTTTGCTGACTGTCTGCCACCAAGGATAAAGAACATGGCAATGCAGAGAAAAAAATCATTAAAAAGTAAATCTGTGACACTCCATTCAAGGTTGCATCTCTGAGCCTTGCCAAGAAATGAGCTACTTGTTGCATCTATATGTCAATATGAAGCAACTGAAAGCAATGTAAGAAAACAAAGTGACAGAACAATTTGTCTTTAAAACACAAAGGCATTATGAAGAGAAACTTTCATAAGTTTGGTAAATCTATTGAGATGAATACTCATATTAGGAACAGTAGGGAAATTATTTGCCAAGAAGCACTGAGAGCAGCTTGTGAGATGAAGACTTGTTTTGTGAGAATGTGGCATAGTGCTTATACTCTAATTTTAATGGATATTGTGTTGAACTGAAAAAGCTGATTATAAACTCAAAATTATTTTACCACTGTGAACATGAAGAATACAGAACTGGTTGTGCTAATAAAACTTTATGGCAACAACAGATAGCATTAATTACTAAAGTAGTTGTGGCTATCAAAAAAAAAATTTCACCCTTTGTCTTTTTCTGTGTCAATAAAAACCTCAAGATTTGCCTATAAGCATCATATGAATCTAAATGTCTCCGTTCATTCAATTAAAGGCATGATTCTACGCTGCGTTTTGAACTTTGTCAGTTTAAAATGCTTTCTGCAGCCAAATGACAGCAAAGATGACATTGCTCTTAAGACAAATTAACACTGAAGTTTTGGTAATTTTGAAGGACCAGACTTCACTTCTGTTTGCAAGGTTGTGCAGCAACAGAAGGGGCATTAGTTTTAAACTGGGGCAGGGTAGATCTAGATTAGACATTAGGAAGAATTTCTTGACTATGAGCATGGTGAGATACTGGAACAGGTTGCCCAAAGAAGCTGTGGATGCCTCATCCCTGGAGACACTCAAGGTCAGGCTTGATGGGGCTCTGAGCAACCTGATCTAGTTAAAGACGTCCCTGCTCACTGCAGGGGCTTGGAACAGATGATAAAAGTCTCTTCTGGCACAAGGCATTCTATGTTTCTACGATTCTATGATTCTATGTTTCTATGATTCTATAGTTCACAGGGAGCTGTGTAAAATGCAGTGATTTGCAAAATTAAGTGGACTGTTTCTCTAATTCATTGCTTACTGAGCATATTCCCTTTGCTCTCCAGTACGGAACAGGCTCCTGCAAATGAAGTAGTTTAACTGGCAATCTGAGAAATAATTCTAAAGAAGACATTTCAAAGAGAGCTAAGAAGAATTGCACGAAGAATGCACAGAGTGATTTAGAAGATGGTCTGATGTATGTAGGTGTCTAGGGAAAAGTGCAGAAGATATGTGCATGAAGTTGCTTAGTTCTGAATTGTTTCAGAGTTCTAAACATTTTAACCTCAAATAAAACAAAAGGTTTGACATCCGTTAAAATAATTACTGTATTGTGACTTAAGTGATCATCTGACATATAAGGCTAATTTTTTTCTCTCCTGGTTTAAGCCAAAATAAAAGAACTGATTTTCATTACATATCAAGGATATTCAGGGTTAGGTATTACTCAAACAAACACACTAATGGGTTGTACACTGCACATCTCAGAGCAATTACTGGATGCCACGTGCTCTTTTATTCTGTGCAACTTGGCTCATCATGTAGCAGTTGTAATTATGAGTCATTCAGGCATGAAGATTTAGTATAAAGGAAAACAGAGAGCAATGAGGCCCAGGTACTTACCTCCTGTTTTGAGTTCCTGAGCTTGTGAATATTCAGCCACTGGGCATAGGGCCCAGTGTTTCATGCCCCAGACAGGGGCACAAGACAGGTTCATGGATTCTCCTCCTAAATGGAGTACAGAACACCAGACTTTCATTCAGTGCTTCTTTCCTTCATTTTTTGCAGCATTTTGCTACTAACAACAGTCCATAACACCAGTGCTTTTCACATGCATCACCTTTCCTTCAGCCAGGCCCCTACAATCAACCATCAATCCCCTCACTAGTCCGCTGGCCCCACGCCCATCACACCAGTTCCCTCACATCAGTTTCACTCACTGCTTCAGTTCTTCACCAGGTTCTTCACCAGCTCTTCACGTTCTCCTCACACCAAGCCCCTCAGTGAAGACTCTCCTGCTTCCTCGTAGTGTGATCTTTAAGACCGTCTGGTATTATCAAGGCTTCTAAGACGGGGCCTCCCACCATGCCCTGCATAGGCTTCAACAACAGCCCTGTGGGGGTTACTCCTCCTATTATTCGTGTTGTACCTGCATGCCCTGTAGACCAGTCAGTGCTGCTATTCCAGCTAGTATCTCCAGGCCTGCGGAGGCCTGGGCTTAGATGTAGAAAATGCAGCATTTCCAGACTATGAAATAGCTGCATGGCAAGAGACATGCTGTTGTCCCTGCTCCTCCAAATTCCTTCTTTGTATCCATAATTAAGATAATTGCTGTATTGCTAAACACTCATTTAGTGAAGGATGCAGCCCACTTGTTGGCTGTTGCTCCTGCAGTATTCTGATGCACAGTCTGAAATAAACATAATTAGAGACTTGCTTAAATACCTTCACCTTCCACAACTTTCAGTTTGATTTTCATTGAATGGTTCAAATTAATACAAAAAACACACAGGAATAGAAGTGCCAACCATAAACTTGACTGTTCCTGAGAGACTTCAAAGACCTCTATTGTTTGCCAGGGCCACAGAAGAGAGATGCTCTCTCTGATGCAGTCTTTCCCTTAAACAACATCCTAAACAGCAACCAAGTGGCATAATGAGGCTTTGCACAATTAAAGGCCCTGTATTTGGTGATTATTGAGCCTACTGTGCACAGTGACTTGCTAAAAAGAAACACTACAGAAAAGGTCAGTAGCAGCAATATTTATTCCATTTGTGAAATTCTGGAACAGAATGGAAAATGGATTTAAGAAATCAGGTGTGACATGGATGATTATCAAGACAGGTGTCTTACAGAAATGCACTTTCCCCATTAATGCCCGATGCGGCAGAACAATCCACTAGCAGCTAGACTGGCATGCCTGGGAATTAAATATAGCTCACTTCCTTCAGTAAAGATGTGTTGTGCACTTGCTTTCTGTTTTTTGAGCCCACAGGGCATACAATCCCATTTGAAAACTCTTCTCTCTAACCAGAAGAACTAGAAGTATTTTCATTTGTCTTTTAACGCAGGCTCTGATTCTGCTGCACTTCCTATCTATCAGCAAGTGGGGAGTGAAATTAAATCAAATATTTGGAGATTTATTGTAAATTGGGGCCTCAAATCTATGAATATCCAATGGATAGATTTTGAAAACATGATGTCTTACTCTTACAAATAGTCATTGATTTCTGTTTCTGGGAGACAAGTATGAAGCTTTACAATAGAATTCTTGAAACATATACTTAATTTTGTCTCATTTAGAAAGAAATTTATGAAAAGTGGATAAAAGTGGTTACACAAGAATGCAAGGGCTAAAGAAGAAAGAGGGAATGAAGTTATTGAGGAAAAAAGCCCAAGAAGGAGTCTGGCTGATGTGCATCTCCAGAAGGCAAGTTAAGCTTAGATTATTCCCGATGTTATACTAACCCGAGCACAGACTCATTTTCCCTATCACAAACGCTGGGCTAGAACTTGCTCCCACAATGAGGTATCCCAGGACAGGGCTCTCTGCAGAGCTCTGCACACTAGTGCCTGTCCAAGTAGGTTGCTTGGTCAACTGCCACAGGATCCATCACTTTCTCACAAATATAAAATTTGTTCTCGCCTCACTGTGCAGCATCTACATTTGCACCCTGAAACCACACACAATCTGGGAAAGGACTTGAGCTGGCTCGCTGGATCTGAAACCTGTAAAAATAAAAAAAATAGCAGAGATATTCATTATCCCACGGAAAAAGTCACAGGCTAATATAATAATTTCCTACCACTGCTACCAATTTGACTCATATCACCATACAAGCCCTTTACTGGGGCCTTGCTGAGGTTGATAAACAAATGGGTGATGGGCAAACTTTCTGCTGGCAAGCAGGTGGGGGAACAAGGTGGTTACTGAGTAGCAGTTAAAGGTTGCTGCTTCTGGCTCATGACAAATACTCCTGGATGTGGTCTGCTCCTATCAGCGCAGTGACTTACAGATCACGGGAGAAAGCCGATCCATCCTCCCACAGCCAGGGCCCCTCAGATCCATTGTGAGACAGCCCAATCCAGAAAGAGTAAGAACTGTAAGACTGTGCCGATCTCATTACGAAGTCCTGTATGGGAACAAATGCAAAGCCTGTAAATTACATCCCTACTTCATTCATAATGTCCTATGATTTTGAAAAGGAGAGAGGCAAATGAAAGTGAGCTGCTCACAGCTGTGTGTAACAGACTTTGTTTCACAAGTGAATCTGGGCAGTGCGTCCTATACCGGGCACTCGGTACTGTTTTGGAAGAAAGGAAAATGAACCTACTGAGAGCTTTCAGAAAATTGAGATAACTGAAGACTGCACTTTAGCTGAGTAATGGGCATAGGATAATGACCTCCTTCCAACATCCTTGTTGCGTAAGTCAGGCAGGAAAAGACTTTTGCATCATTTGCTGTCATTGTACATAGGAAAATTCAAAACACTGACAATGAAAACCCAGTGTTTGAAACATAGTAACGCTGCCATTAAAGCTCTGGATAGAAATTCCTTCACAGCAAAAAGCTCTCTGGCTGTGCTTTGTCTGCTGCTTGATCTACAAGTTAGGAGTCAAAAAATTATATGGATCCTCCTCTGCTCATTTAAGAGAAGATGCCAGGGAGCAGGCCAGGATGGCAAGATTTCTAGCTGTGGACAGCATTCTTTCAGCATTCTTTCAGCTTCTGCTGAAAGTCATTCTTCTGATGACTGCTAAATAGTTTGCTATAACAAGACACCAAAAGAGTTGCCAACCAGTACTAGCTCAATTATGTTTGCCCTGAGATGGGATGAGGATCCAGATGTAGCACCAAGTTGATATGTCTCATTTAACTCCCCTGAAGCCAGTAGAGATACACCAAGGAGGATGCAACTCCAGTACAGGTAGAGGGACTCCAAAGGGGCATGGAGAGTTTTTCCCACTTGGTCCAGCATATGCATGCCAAAGCATACAGCACCAGCAGAAGGATGGAGTGGCTGTTCAGGCCAAAGTAAAATGCAGAGTGTATAAGAGAAGGAGTAAAAAATAATCTTTACCAGCTCTTCCTTACTCTCTATCTTAACAAGTCTGGACTCCAGAGCAGAGCACTTAGCCCTGCTTTCTTGCCAATTTTTCCATTCCTTTGAAAAATAGTAGCAGTTCTCCCCATACTGTAGCCAGTTCTTAAGACATGGAATACATTTCTGTCCTTGAAAAGAAAAGAGGACTTGATAAGGTTTGCCAGTGATAGCAGACTCTAGTGATCTAGTGGATTCTTGCAGGATCACTGGAGCAGCGTACAGCCTGTCCATCACAGAGAAGCAAGAATTCCTCCTTCATTCTGCAACTAAATTCACATCTTCACTGAAGACTTAATAAACCCAGTTGACAGAAGAACAGAAAAAAACATTTCTAAGCCTAAATCAGAAAAACAAATAATTAAGATTTTTTTTAATCTGACCAGCAAACCTGAAGGGTACTAGTAAAACACAAATAGCCATGTCCAGAGACATAGATCTAGGTGGACCTAAAAGGAAACCTAGACTTTCAGTCATATGGGTACATCTCTATTCATGTGAACTTTCTTTAATTTCTTGTTATCATCAAGGCCAGCTCTTCCCTGCTAAATGCTTTACAATTTATACTTAAAATTTTCTGGTAGCTTTTCGTACTTGCTGTGGATTCAGTGCACAGACATTAGATGGTCAGCCAAAGTGACCACCTGATGGTCTTTTTTTTCCTTCTTTTTGCTAGGGAAAATACCTTTCTTACAGCTGCACTTTGACTCTTTTCTGCCATATTATTCTCTTAGCTGCCTGTTGGGACCTTGAGTAATACTGCAGTCAGAAAGAACTCAAAATGTTGGATTTTTCTTTCACTTCTGCACCATTTGGAGAGCCACATTTCTTGTTGAAAACTGAAATAATCACAAGCAGCAAAAAGACCTGCCAGAGAAAATATTTTGGAGGTTTATAGGAACTGAGTCACAACTATTGGGTGAATCATATATATTGCTCTACGGCTCACATGACCATTTTATATTGTAGCAATCCAGTGCCAGCTGGGAGGGAATGCCAGGTATTGATGCTGGATGGCAAGAGATACCACAGCACAGTGCACTAGACTCTTACAGGTAGCTTCTGGTTTGTGCTAAACTCAAATATAGACATTTAAGAAGATAACAACCTTGCCACTGTCTCACATGAAATTAATTCATTCTGATTCTCTTCACTGTATGATAATCAGCATATTCAGCTCAGGTTTTCCACTGCTGCATAACAGAATTAAGCTGTCTTGAGGAGTCAAAACATTCCAGACCATTAAAGCCAGTAGGAATTTCCCACCAAAATTTTTGTACTGTAATTCACTGAAAGCAACTGGGAAAGAGGCAATGGTAGCTTCAAAGAATTTACCTATTAGAAACACCTTCTTTTAAGAAAAAAAATAATAGAATCATAGAATGGCCTAAGTTGGAAGGGACCTTAGAGATCATCTAATCCAACCTCCTTGTCATGGGCAGGGACACCTCTCCACTAGATCAGGCTACTCAAGGCTCTGTCCAACCAATCATCATGGTATTTTCTGAATTCAGGTGTTTGGCTGAGGTTATAAACCACCTCCATTACAAAGACTCAATAAATATACTTTAAAAAGACTCATACTTAAAAAAAATATCAAAATGGAAATGCAGCTTTTTTATTGACTCAGTTGCAATTTGTTTTTAAATTAAGTAATTCCAGGTAATTATAGATATTCTGATCTTTCCTTCCAATATGGTTAGTAGAAAAAAATCAATCCGTGACTACCATAATGCAATGGAACCACTATCTTCCCATCACTATATACCTCTGGAGGTGGCAAGTTGCTTTACAGTCTCTGTCAAGTTCAAATTCTGAGCCTGGAGGACCTCCAGCTGCAGGTGGAGGCTTTCCATAATTGCCTTTTGCAGGGTGAAGTTTTCATCCCTTTCACGCACAAGGTGGCAGACCAGGATGACTTGAATCACAGCAAAACAAGAATGAAATTGTTCCATTAATATTAAAGCTAAACTGCTCAATGCAATCAAAAGACACATGTACCTCCCCGCAACTGAATATACTCGACCTACGCACAGTTTGTGCACACCTATGAGCAAGATGTAACAGTTTCAAAGACTGGAAGATCTCTTAAGTGGGTAAGGGACACTTTTTTTCCCTTTATTAATCCCCTGGGTAAATCCTTTTCTTTGACTAATTTCCTAGACTTCTAGTTGTTCATACTGAACTCTGAGCAGCCCTTCTGTGACCATACTTACACCTGGCAGCCAAGACTCCTGCAGCTACCACTGAACTTAGGCAGAAGACCCCAAGCACCACTGTAGCCAGTCGCCAACTGGAAGATGGACTAGGGGGATCTGAGATAGACAAAAAGAAGGAGAAGCAGCAAGAACAGGAATCTCTCATCTTTGTATCTGTAGCTCCTGAGACTCCTGTATGAAATTTCTGTGAGGATACTTATATTGAAGTCACCAACCAAAATGGCATACCAACCTGTGATATTTCTGCCTTTTATCCTTCTTTATTCCCCAATCCTCTAAGCAAACAGCTGAGAACAACTCTGCTAGATTATGGGGAGTTCAGCTTGATTTCCAAGCATAAAACTCAAGGACCCCCCAAAAGTGAGAACGACAAAAACACTGCCTAACCAATATGGGAATATTTCCTTCAGAAAGAGCCCTTTAATTTACTGGATTATTATCAAATTTATCAAATTCATCTCCAGACATTTAGTCAAGCTGGAACATGGCATCTCCTTGCTTTGCTACTACCTTTCATACAGAGCAATCCTAAAGCACTAGTGCAGAGCATAACGAATATACATTTGGGATCAGTCACATTTCTCCCTTCTATTTAGTACAGTTTTTATGAATTTTAAGTACAAAAAGGTAATCGTTCATCTATTCCTTCCCTTGAGAGAAAACACATTTTTGCCCTAGCATTTACTTCATTCAGATAGTCAGACTTAAATGAGTAAAGTTGAAAGACTTTTGCAAGGTGCCTTAGGCAGATTACTTCACTAACTTCCAGGAGCAGACACTTAAATTCTAACTGATACATGTTTACTTTTACTTAACCACATCCCACAACATTAATTATATCTCTCCCATCAAATCAAAATAGTTTTTCCACATTTTCCACCCTTCCATTTTTTAAATCTCCTGCCTTTTTTACTTCCTCCCTCCAAAGGGCTCCCAGAAGCCAGATGCTTCTTGGCAGGTAACATCTTTCTCTGAGTGCCACATTAAAAAATATTCTCCAAGGAGCTTGCCTTGGAGAGAACTGCCCCGCAGCACCATCATTACCTTTTGCTCTAGCAGTCTGAAGCTCCCGGTCCTAGGATTTTTCCAGTGTCATGAACCTCAGGTCTGCATATGTCACTTCTTCACTTGTCATTTCTGGCAAGAGTACAGGAGAATTCAAAAGTTTCATTGATCGCACAGGAGAAACACGGTTAATGTTCTGGCCGGGATCAAACGAACAGTCAGGGTCATTGGGAGCTAACAGTGATTCATGCAAAAGTCAGAAGGGATTTTTGGCTCATACTAAAGGATTTCATGACGCAGCAATAGTGGGGACTGTTTACAAGCAGTAGAGTCCCAGAACAGTAGTTAAGTCTCTCGTGTGTGCAAAATGCAATGGGGCATGGAAATCTCACAGTTCTCACTTCCTGGGGGTACATTTTGGGGGTACATCCCTTCTACAGAGAAAAAAAGAAGGAAGGAAAGAGGAAAAGAGGAAAATACATTAATTTTGGATTAAATCTAAACAATTCCTTAAAGCTTTTCAGCAGCAGAGGGGCTTGTTTCTTTATTTTCTTATACAGGGATTAACATTCAGGTAATGCAGCCAGAAGGGCTGCACAGGAGGACTGGAGGTAAAATGAAATGAGAAAACATACTGATCGTCTTTGCTTACTGCTTGTAAAGCACATCATGCTTGACCTGATGGGGTAGCACGTTGATTTGACGCAGCCATCACCGATTCCTAGGACACAAAGATATTAATCTGGGTTTCCCAGCTGCTATTCCAGGTATGTCTGCACTGTAAAAGGGAGTGAACCGAAGAAAGCCACTGAACTAATAGGCACTCTGTGTAGAAAAGTCATGTACTAGAGTGTCCATGTGCTCCTGGATGAGCTCTGGGCTGGAAGCAATCCAGCTGCCTTTTAGCAAGAGCGATTAACAGAGCACAGCAGCATGCCATTGCACTAGGGCTACTGCTGCACCCAAGGAGGAGTCACTGGTCAGCTGGAGTACCTGCGCTGTGCTCTCTCGAACTTTGAGCACTAGGAATAAGATGGAGAAACTTAACTAGTCCTGCATTTCCTGGTATTTCTAAGTCTGCTGGCAAAATGACAGGAACGAGATCTGAATTTTCATCTGTATTTCATATGGCTCTGTGGCAGGTAGCCCAAGAACTGCTGGTCTCACCTGCTGTTTAACTCGGGAACATGGATGAGCACCAGTTAGCTCAGAAACCTACCCCATGTCTTACTGCGGGGCTTTGCCAATCCCAGGCTGCAGGAGATCAAAGGTCCCTGGGTACAGGGCAGAAGGCATTCCAAGACTTTTATCTTACAGAGAAAAACCAGTGTTTATCTTACAGAGCAAAAACACAGTGACTTCGACTCCGGCACCTGGACAGACACATATAGACAAATAAATGTTATTTTCCAGAAGTGCCTTACCTTGTCTCCAATGAGACGCTGCTTTTGAACTCTCCGTCACACTTTCTGTCAAGAGGAGGTAACAACCTTTTTGTCCTCAGAGGAAAGAGTATGAAATGTTCTGCTTCTTTATGTGCAGTTTATTAAAAAATTATCTGTTTTCATTTTACAAGCAACAAAGCCCTTCCAGATTGTCATCATTCAGTGTAAAATATATGAAAGCTTTGATAATGTTTTACTGCACCTGCAAAAGTCCAGCAATGCTTGTGAGCCCCAAATGTGTTCCATTATTTTACACTCCTAAATCACAGAAGCAAAAAATGCACTGGGTTAGAAGGAACCTTAAAGATCATCTGGTTCCAAGCTACCTGCCATGGGCAAGGACACCTCACACTAAGCCAGGTTTGAAGTCCCATCCATCCTGGCCTTGAACACCTCCAGGGATGAAGCATCCACAACTTCTGTGGGCAACCTGTTCTAGTGTCTTACCACCTTCATAGTAAAGAATTTCTTCCTAACATCTAATCTAAATTTACCCTGCTCCAGCTTAAAACCATTGCCTCTCATCATATCACCCCACACCCTTCTGAACAGTCTCTCTCCAGCTTTCCTGTAGGTGTCCTTCAGGTACTGGAAGGCCACTATAAGGTCTCCCAGAACCTTCTCTTCCCCAGGCTGAACAACCCCAACTCTCTCAGCCTGTCCTTGTAGGAGAGGTGCTCCTAAGATGTTCTGATCACCTTTGTGGCCCTCTTCTGGACACGCTCCAAGAGGTCCACGTCCTTTCGGTGTTGGGGGCTCCAGAGTAGATGCAGTTCTCCAGGTAGTGTCTCACAAGAGTGGAGCAGAGGAACAGAATCACCTCCCTTGACCTGCTGGCCATACTTCTTCTGATGCAGTCCAGGACATGGTTAGCTTTTTTTGCTGCCAGTGCACATTGTTAGCTCATGTTGAGCATCTCATCAACCAGCATCCCCAAGTGCTTCTCTGTGGGGCTGCTTTCAATCCACTTAATGCCCAGCCTGTATTTGTGCTTGAGATTGCCCTGACCCAGGTGCGGGACCTGGCACTTGGCCTTGCTGAACTTCATGAGGCTGGCCTGGGCCCACCTCTCCAGTCTGTCAAGGTCCCTCTGGATGACATCCCCTGCATCACTCAGCTCAGTGTCATCAGCAAACTTGCTGAGGGTGCACTCAATCCCACTCCCCCTGCCACCGACAAAGATGTTAAACGGCATCTGTCCCTGTACCAACAACCCCTGAGGAATGACATTCATCACAGGTCTCCATTTGGACTTTGAGCCATTGATCTCAACTCTCTGAGAGTGACCACCTAGCCAATTCCTTATCCACCAAGTGGTCCATCCATTGAATTCATGTCTTTCCAATTAGAGACCGGGATGTCATGTAAGACAGTGTTGAATGCTTTGCAAAGTCTAGAAAGATGACATCAGTTGCTCTTCTCTTATCTACCATTGCTTTAACCCCAACAACCATGGGGAAGTAGTGGGTATGACTAATCAAGCTGGCTCTAGTGGAATATTCCTTTGAAGAGTAATAGGGAACAAGCAGCAATCTCTCAACAGTTTCTAAGAGCATTACGGCAGCATTTTTTCAGCTCACTAAGAAGCTTTACTCCCAGTTAAGATCATGCTACCTAGGAAATAAAAGTTAGAACAAGCCTGAGATGCATCACTTGATACAACAAGAACAAGGAAGCAGCGAAAAGTATTTTCTATCCATACCACAATATGCTTTCCCTGGCATCCAAGGAAGTGTATGTTCAAATCACACATAGCTTACTATAGAAGGGACCCTTAGATTTTAAACAATCACAAAGAACAGAAGAAAGTCAATGATGTGATATTTCTTTTTGTTTTAGCAATTCTGTGAGAGCCTGTCCACATTTTTAAAACCTTTTGAAAGGTGGTAAGGGGGAAATATGAAGGAGAAAAGACAATTCAGTACAACACAAAACAAATATAAATAAAATGTTGAAATAATTGAGGCAAAATACCAGGGGAATGTGGAGATATTTAAACGAAGGACAGGTTAGAAGGACCATAAGTGAATTATTGGAAGCACAGTATTACTGGCAATACCACATAAATAGAAAACGAGTGATTAATAAGTTTCAGCAAGAATGAGTTATGATACACTTTTGGAGGGGTAACTTCCATGTCACACTGCTGTTTTTTCTTTAGAGATTTTTTTTATCTCTTTATCTGATATTTCAGTTTGATCCTTCTAGAATTTGAAATTCTCACGATACTGAATTTCAGTTAAAAATCAAGTGATAATCTATTGAATTACCACACTGATAATAAAAATCCTCTGAAAAATCCTCTGAAAAAAATCAGTAATCTGCACTTCTTTTCCATATTGAATCCCACCAGGTTTTAAAGCCCTATAGAAAAGAAAAGCCGTGTTACAATTCTGCTGTGTCTTTTCCTCCAAAACTTCTGTAATATACAAAATAATTTAAGGAGGAGAAGACAAATAGAATATTGGGCAATTCCTGTGTAAATGCAAAGCTAATAGTTCCTGTTTCTATGTTTCTTCTTCGTCCACCAGGACTCAGAAACCTTCTTCCAGTAGTAAACTAGGATGAATGGATGGATAGATAGATCAATAGAATCTCGTGCTAAGGCATGTTTGTACCACACTATTACTTTTATAATTTGAGAAT